AAATCCAATATGTGTCAAAAAAAACGAATTCCACAGTGCTACCAGGAATGTTTGAAATAAATGAAAGTAATAGCTTTCTAGGGAAAAAATTTATCTTTAACCACTGAAAATTTCAGAGCAATTGGTCCAGTCTTCAAAGAGAAAAGCTACTTTTTAGATTTTTTATTAGGTGTCCAAAAAGTGTCAAAGAACACCAACAACAAAATATTGATACGTGTCGAATAACAAAATAACCTATTTAGTGGTGTTGGTTTCAAACAGATGTGGTTATTGTTTACCATTCTAAATCTTTTTTTCACAACAACGAAATTTACTCCTAAGAATAAAGGAATCTTACTCCAGAGGTAAATTTACCTTAGGTTAAAAAATGCTGATCTAAACATCTAGATCAGGGGTCAACAGCGCGTTGCTCGCGGGCACCTAGTCGCCCGTGAAGACCACATAAGTCGCCCGCAGGTCTGTTCCAAAATAGACTTTCATAACGACGCTTAGTAAGCTACATAAATTAATTTTTGCCCTGCCATTAACGATCAACCTCGAACCCGGGTTTTTTCTTGTTCGTTGGTTTGTGGAGCAGCAATGATACAAATATTGATTCCAAGGAAAAATGGTTAAAAAAAAAAGAAAATCTACCATTTTCACGATGAATGGGAGGTGGAGTTATTTTTACCATTTTTTTATATTTCCTTTGCGGGGCGATTGTAGCGATGGCAGAGCGGCACAATGTGGAGAAACATTTTACACCTTGTCACACAATCTATCACGCTAACCATTCACTAGTCAGCGCAGTACGAGCAGAAAAAGTTCGCGATTCAAATTAAACAGCAATCCTATTTTACGAGACCAGTGTTTGGTATTTTAGTGGTTGGTTCCACCGTAAGGTTCAACCTATGTTTGTGAATCAACATTTTTTGACATGAACCTTACTTCAAGAACAAACACAGAACACGCCCCACTGATGAAAATCTGCAAGACTCGCTCAGAGTTGCAGTTTCAAATTACACGCCGGAGTACAACACACCCGTGGAGAGCATTGGACCAGATTTGTTTGCTTTTGGTCTGCCCCTAGTTGAAAATGAGATATTCCTAATTTTATAAATGTGTAACATTTGATGACCAGTGAGATATTTGATAGTACAACTGTTAAGTTCATTTCATCTTAGGCTTATGCTGGGTGTTTGTAAAAAAGCAGGTACATTGTGGTTTCCTAGGATATTATAAAAGTGACTACTTTAAAATCAATTTGAAAAATACTCAGTTTGAAAATGGAAGTGTCATTTATAGTAATTTATTTGCTATGTTGTGATAATCGTATGATTTCCCGAAGAATCCAAGTTTATCAGTGTCTCTATTTGACTAACTTCCAGTAATTATCAACAATTAAAGCTTAATCGAGCATAGTGACTTTTTTAGAAGTGTGCATCGAACTGGTACCCCCAGCTTAATCTGTACCCAGAAAGTAGCCCTCGGCTTCGGAAAGATTGGTGACCCCTGATCTAGATCTAGCTATAAAACATCTAAAGTGGCAACCATGCGCTGTGTATCATTATGCATAATGGTATTTATAGTGTTATTATGATTGGCAGATTTCAAATCCCATCATTTTCAAACAATTCATGCTCAACAAAATGAAAACAGCCTGCGAAATAACCTTATCAAGCAATAAAATTAGGGAGAACGAGAAGTTTTCTTGCCACGGGAAACCGCTGCTCTAAAGCCTTGACAATCCTATCTATTGCATCGCAGATGAAAGTCCGAAGACCACCGTGCTATTTGATTCACATCTGAATTTCAAAATTATTTATAATACTGTACTTACGAGTAGAACACAAAACTACATATCCGAGTCAATGCCCGTTACAATTCTCAAGAATCAGACGAATGTGCCAACCTCAAAACACATTCCCCGGAAACAGTTTTCTATGCTAGACCACATATATCCGTTGTAATCAACCAACATATATTTTGAAGCAAATATCATTATCATCATTGTAATCTTTCGCATTCAGCGAATGCTAAATAAAAATAGTTTTCAGATAACTATTCAGTGTGTTGAGTTGAATGAAGTAATCGACTTCAACAAATAATGATCGTTATCTCCACATTATGTGTGCAAATCATAGCACATTCCCTTGATAAATTCGACCCTCATACCGATGGCATTATGCCAAGTTTCGGGGTGAACCCGCATATATCGACAAGTGACTGGTTTTGGAAACATGTTGATGTTTTGGGTGTGTGTGTCAGAGTTACCTGTAAATATCTGAATAAAAAATGACTCAAAAGTCGAAGTGGTTTGATAACTGCTACGATGTATATCAATTGGCACAAAGCATGGAACGATTGTATTCAATAATAAAGTTGTTCAGATTATAATATCGGCATGGGGTATATATATTAAACGTATTTACATATTAAATATTTTATAAGCCGAGTCGCGCCATACCAATTGATTTTATCGCTGTCATCATTTTTTGTCAGAAAATCTTCACCGGTGTCGTTTTTCTCTTAAAATAACCAAATTCATATAAAAATAGGGTCCAAAAATGGCGTTATGCGACTGAGCTATCCAAATATCCTCTGATTTTGATTGGAATCATTATTTTTACATGGATCCTACAAAGTATACACAGATCAGCATTTGACTAAGCGGTCTCAAAAATGCCGATTGGAAACAAAGCAAGCGACGTAACCTGCAAACCGTGTTACGTCCAAATATGTGAAGGATAATTCATCATACCGTCTACCGATGTTTAAGTGAATACACATATTAAATAAAAGAGATGATATATTATATGTTTCAAGATCAGTATACGATTATTTAGATATTATTATCATTAACTAAAGATAGCAATGAAATAAATTTGATCGTAAACTCTTTGACACCACCTAGAGGAAGTAAGATTTCAGACTGTAGCCGCACATGTATATAGATGTGACCCTGCCAAGATTAAGGGATTGAGTTTATTGGTGCCTCCGTCAGAGTTTTCAATAAATGTCTAAATATCAATTAGATTAGTGCAAATCTTGAATAGATGATATTCGACGTATGAACAGTTAATTTTTTTAGTTTTTCGTGGAATGAAACAATTATTGACAATTTTTATGAAATATCGATTACTTAATAAATATATATAAATATTAACAAAACGATCACAAAATTAACAGTAAATCCACTATCCATAAAATCATCTAAAATTATCTTTTCTGCCCTGTGTTCTTGTATAGTAGTATTCAGACCACAGGATATTGTGAAAAAAGTAACCCATTGTCAACATTCTCTTTCCTATGTGCAAAATATAGGAAAGGGTGGGCCGAATAATCTGCGTGTTCCTTCCCCGGTACTATTCAACATACTTTAGCGAAGTAAACCTCAACCGACTTCTTCAGAGGTCAATAAGCACACATTAGATTGTAAGGCCAAATGTTCGTAGATTGCAAAGTTGTACAATCGATGTATAAATAACAGATGAGGAATACACTTGAATTCTTAACACAAATATATAGTGATGAAACCAAAATTTCTAACTAAGCAAGATCAATAAAACAAAGACAAGCAACTCTTGAGCGAGGTTGAAAAACTTTTTCGCATAAAACTTTGCGTGAAAATGATCATATAGAAAATGAAATTGAATAACATACATTATTAACAATAAGTGGTTAAAAGTATTAATATACACAGTTCTTAATATTTCGCTACAAAAAAATTAATTAGAAGAGTAAAGCTATTATTGTCGTAATTTTAAACAAAGTTTAACACAACATTTTTTTTAAATGTATATAAAATAAAAAAAATTTAAAATACTTACTCCTTAGCAAAGCTTCTATGATCTGATTTGCCGTTGTGAGTGAATCTTAAATAAATATGAATTCGTGGACCTGTTACCATACGGTACTGAATTTTACTGCTTCGGTGCCGGAGTCATAGTTTTACTTACGGAATTTTAAAAATCAGGAAGGACATGAATAAACGATATTCGGAATTAAAAACAGTCATTTAACAAAATGAAGGTAATATTAAATCCCATCGAAAAAAAAACATATGATCGCTGATAGAAAGCTTACAGCTATACTATTCCGTGGAAAGAGATTAATGCTATTCGTAGTAATTTTATGTTACAAAAAAATCACGGACATTATTTTATTCATCTCCAGTGGGCCTACGCTTCCTTGATTTGAAAGCATACACAACGACGAAAAGCGAAAGCAAAATCGGATAGATGTAGTTTGCAAACAAAGGGCTAATTTCAAATTAATTTTACGCTGCAATGTCGCAAAGATATATCTTGATGGGAGAGTTCCTAGAGTCAAGAAGAACAGAATCCGGTATAATTTCTCATAACGACAACAGCATTTCGCGAGGAAAATTTTGTGGTTCGGACGGTTATTGTGAACTAATCGCATTAGACATTATCCTTTAGTACAGCCACAGTAGCACCAATCCAAATAGGCCAGCAATGTTACATATGAGAAGGAGTCGGGTGTTTGTCCAAGCATCTAAAGCAGTTGTTCACAACCTTCTATGACTCGTGGCTCCCTTCCGGATGCTTTTAGCACTCATGGCCACCTGTGTATCATTCCCATGGAATTTATAATGTTAATATGATTGGCAGACTCCAAATCCAAATATGTTCAATACTGTTAGATTTGTGATAAGATGTTCCTATGAATGAAATTGGTTGTATATGCACGAGACATAAGCTATATATATATGTTGTATTGATTGGCTGTATATGAGTTGGATGTATAGGCAAATTTTTAGTTATATATATGTATACAACGTTACCATACTAACTATTGCATCTAATATGAAACTCCGAAGACAGTCTTGCTCTTCGATTTACATCAAACACTTACCAATGGAACACAAAACTACAGATTTGAGTCTATATATACCTATGTCACAATGCTCTTGAATCAGTCGAATTTGTCAACCTTAAAAACATTCCCCGGAAACAGTTGTCATAGCTACTGCTAGACCACATATATATATATAATCATTATAATCAACCAACATATATTTTAAAACCAATATCATTTTGATCTTTTCAATCTTTTGCATTCTGGGAAGGCTAAATTAAAAATATTTGTTAGATAAAATATAGTACACTTTTGTCTTGTCACAGATAAAAATACATATGAATATCTCCAAACCCGAATATAATAAGAGCTTTAATATTAACAATATAGGATTTACAAAAATAAATTTTTAATATAGACAATGTGGGTTGTAATGTTCCATTCGGGATAACCAAAGTTTTTTTCGATCACAAAGATGGGAATAAATCTTAAGGGATTTAAATAATAAATAAATATTGAATCAATAGAGGTAAATTTATAATCGTCAATAAAAGGAGCTTGAATCAGAGTATCAATCATTTATAGATTCTGATAATAAGAAGAATGGTTTGTAATAATATTAGGAATGAATATATTTCGTCGAATGAAGTAATAACAACTTCAACAAATAATAGCTAATTGTTATCTCCACTTTATATGTACAAATCATAGCACATTCCCTTGATAAATTCGACCCTCATATTGATGTGAACCTGCCATGTTTGAGGGTAAACCCGAATATATCGACAAGTTATTGGTTTTGGAAACATGTTGATCTTTTTGGTGTCTCTGTCAGAGTTACCTGCAAATATCTGAATAGAAAAATATTTAACTTTAGGTTGCGTGGTTTGATAACTGCTCCGAAGAAAAGATATATGGCACAAAGCTTAGAACGATTGTATTCAATAATAAAGTTGTTCAGAACTATTTTCAATTCAAGGAGAGAAGAAAAACGTTAAATTACTTTTTTATACCTTATGTTGATATTATATTATTAATCGATCAAGATGTTTATGCGATGAGTTATATATATATATATATATCTATATATATACATTGTTCGCCCTATCACGATCGTGGTTGACTGTTATCCCATGTTCAAGTTCTTATAGTTTCATTCAAAAAAATATGAAAATTATTCAAAAATACATTTTGTAATTGTCAATTATTATCATCATTTTTTTCTGTCATGAAAATTACTTTCGCATTTATTTTTCCTAAAATGCCATTTACACATTGTTTTCAGAAACAATTTTGACGCATTTTCAGTCACAAAACCAACTACAATGTACGAAACTCAAGCATGAAAGAGGATTGATGAACCACCTTACCTTTTGTGCCCCATTCTCTTGGACGGTAGCCAGAGTACTAGTGCTAAGACCACAGGAAATTGTGAAAGACGTCACCCATTGACTTATACTCTCTCTTCCCTGTGTAATTATTCCACCAACTAGTTCCGGCCTTCCGAAGTCTACTTGAAGCCATTCGCCCTTTCGATCTGGCAATACATAAATTAAATTCATCATTGGCAATAACTTTTATTATGAATCTATCAAAAATTCAAGTAGCCCATAATTGAATTGTCATATTCTATTTAATTGATATTGAATGTTACAAAATATGTTATTACTAACTCTGCCGGACCGCCCATGCTGCTACATCTCCTGTTTTTTTTTCTGTTATCAAGCCTTCCGTCATACGCATTATGATGTACGTCGTATATCGATGAAGCTGTAATAGCTGAGTCTGGTATATCTCTGCTTCTCATTCCCATAAAACAATATGCACCTGTAATGATATTTGGGTATATTAGAATAAATAATAACACGATATTAAAATACATGAATAGCATCAATGGAAAACTCTGAAAAAAGAAATATCTTGGATCTACCATACGTCACCGCACATTATACTACAGGTATAATGCCTAACGGAATATTCATGAATCGTGATGTCCCCATAAAATGTTAACACCAAAAGTTACTTTTAAGTTTAAAGGCCTATTGTATTAGTCAATGAAATCTTGCGCTCAACTCTCTACCACTACTTCGACAACAATATAATCAGTAAGTTTTGAGCAGCTAAGAACTAAAAGTGTATAGAGACCATAGTCATAGTCAAGTTTATTATTTCCATCCAATAAAAATAACATAAAAAATCGACAAAAATTAAAATTTATCACACCATTTTGACCAACAAATATATATAATTTGATGGTCTTTGTGACGTTGGATATTTGCGTTCAACTTTAATCTACAAAACTAAATTCGATTTTCTTGATACTTACTCTTTGGTAAAGCCTCAATAATCCGACTTGTCTTTGCAAGCGAACCTAAAATTATAAACTGGAGTCAGACAATAGTACATAATAGTACAAGAATACCACGCAACATGATATCACACTATTTGTAGGTTAAATTAGTGGTTGGGTGTTTTCACTGATGGTCGATACCGTATTCTTTAATTCAAGTCAGTAGCTTCAGACATCCGGTTGGTTAAATGATTGAATTTTAGCCCCATTACTATGCTCAAAAGCGACTGAATTCTACGCCATCACATGAACTCACGTAAACAATTTCGTTTGACCCAATATTACTAAGAAACGGTCTACTTTGTGAATTGCAGCTTAGCGCTAACTATAGATATTTTTTATGTGCTGTTTCAATTGGTACAGCTACTATATATATTAAAAAAAGAGTTGAGCTCAATACAAGTAGAACTTTGTTACTGAATCACTATTTTTGTGTAGTCAATGAAGGATATACAAAACAATGAAACGTAATTAATGAATATGATATTTAATTACTTTCAAGTTCTCTAATTTTTTCTTCCAGATTTTCAGCAGTTCCTTGTTCGCCTTTTTGACCTTTTACTCCTGTTAATCCTCTTGGTCCCTGTGATCCGCGTTTACCAGGTCTGCCTTGACATTGACTGGAATCACAAGTCAGCTGACTCGTGTCCCCATTTGCTACAACATGCGAGCAAAATTCATACACTGTTGGCATGTGACAGCTAGTTAATTGTAGAAAAAGGAAAAAATATAACACTAAAATAATCTTCATTTTTGCGATTAAGGTCTAAAAACAAATGAAATAATATATTAAAATTAAATAATTTCCGATACTTTGCAATAAAGTTATAATACTAATAAAGCTGCAGGGTAATGAATAAAGTATATCCAGCTACCATCTAACTTTCATGCTAACTTGCCGGCGTATTTTACCAAATGATTAGTTAGATTTCCGTATCTACTCACTTCATCATTTGAACGGTTCTCGTAATCGTACGCACTGTGAAAAATTACAAAAGTCATTGTTGAAATTGTATTCAAGAATTCAAAGTTCAGCGTCGCCTGTCAATGGATGGTACAGAATGTATATTCAATATAAAGCAGAATCAATCTTTAACTAGGTATAATTACCTGCTTGAAGTAAACAAAGCAATCACGAAATAGTCATGCTCTTGCACTGCCTTGTACCATGCACAGGTTGTTTTTGGAGATGAAGCTGGTCTACTTGTATTGAATTTATTATCTTATTTTGTATCTCGCTTAGACTTAAACTTATTGGGAGAGGCCATGGTTGAACCAATATTACAAATTCACATATTAAACATTTTTTAAGCCGAATCTCGCCATACCCACTTATTTTATCGCTGTCACCTTGTTTTTGTCAGTAAATCGTCATCGGTCTCATCTTTTTTCTGTTAAAGATCAAATTCATATACAAATAGGGTTCAAAAATGGCGTTATGCGGATGAGCTATTCAAATATATTTTTATTGGAAACATTTTTAACATCGATCTTACGAATAATACGCATATCAGCATTTGACTAAGCTGTCTCAAAAATGCCAATTGAAAACAAAGCAAGTGATGTAACCTGCAAACCTTGTTACGTTCAAATATGTGAAAGATATTACGTCATATCGTCTACCGATGGCTAGGTGGATACGCATATAAGATAAATGAGAAGATATGTTATATAATTTTGAGATCGGTATACGAGTATTTAGATATTATCATTAAACAAAGATAGAAATGAAATAAATTTGATCGTAAACTCTTAGACACCACCTAGAGGAGATAAATTATTAGACTCTGGCGCAGTAGTTCTCAACCTTTTTCAGTTCGCGGACCGGTAAAATTTCAAAACAAATTTCGCGGACTGGCGGACCTTCAAAATTACCCATAAATGTCATGAACACAAAACATAATCAAAAGAATGCAATTACGACAAAAGTAGGCGGTGCAAAAGAATAAATTCAATTTAATGAGAAGCGGTACTTTTTCGCTGCTGGTAGTAATAGTGAAACCTAGCTCCGAATACTTCTTATCCTACCAGATCCATATCAACTTTTCTGCAAGGTTGTTTCGGGGCATGTTGTAAAGTTGAAGTAGCAGTCTCTACATCTTTCCTGTCAACACTAACTTGGTTTTCACCGCTTGGTTTCTTATGAAAGAACTGGATAATACTTGGATAATGTTGTTTCGTTTTCCTCCATTTTCCTATCAAACCTTGCTGAATTACAGAACTACTGTCAAATTACGAAACGTGCGATCTGCTAAGTCCTCAATCCGGTATCGTACTGTGTGTAGGGATTTGTTCACCTGGTACACATACTACGTTTTGGTGTCCGCCATTTTGGTTTCCATACTTCGGGAGTTCCGATTGATTTTGTATTAAATGGGTTAAATAAGAATGGACGTAAAAACATGAAAAGCGCTTCTTATTCGCAATGAATCCTTTAAAACGCCACCAATAACGATGAAGGCCCATACACGCCTTCTCAAGCTGTAGCTCAATGCGTCCGCAAACGTGGTTGGCGCAGGAAGACGCAACCGATAAGACATTACGTGAACGACCCTGCGAGGAGAACCCCCTTGCCAAATTTAAAATACAACCAAAGAAATGAGTTTGTATACCTTTGAAAAACTCTATCATTTTAACATTAAGAACAAAGTATGCTGAGCATAAATTAACTGAACAGTTTTAAAAGTAATAAAGCCTTAATTTTACGATGAAAATGTCAATACAGAAACTCAATAGGCCTATCCTTATTATTGAATTATAACAGATTAGTTTTGACATCATTGCATCAGAGGGGTCTTACAATTAGCATAGCCTGTCTCATCGTTTAAATCAGGTTTCCGCTGATGTAAGTATATAGATACAAACTTGGCGATAGATGTACGCAATAGAAGTGAAAGTCAAAGCAAGGATTTTTACTAAGATTTTTGAATATATAATTCCGGCAGCCTATGCGACTGCCAGAACGCAACGTTCTGGCGTATTTTCACGGCGATGCAAGGGTTATTTCAATAAAAAATACAGAAAAAAAATTGATTTAAAACAAGCTCTTGTTTTTAAAAAGAGGATGTTTTTTTTTAGAATTGATAAAAAACAAAATCCTAACTGTGTGCTATCAAACTCCTTCGTCATGACGGAAAGTATTTGGCGCGCGGCAGTAAGGTTGGCGCGGACCGGCGGTTGAGAACCACTGCTCTAGCGCATATGTATACAGATGTGGTTCCCACAGATGTGGTCCTGCAAAAATTGAAGAATTGATTTTCTTGGTGTCTCTGTCAGAGTTTCCAGTAAATGCCTAAATATCAACTAGATTGGTGCAAATATATTCGTGCAAACTATTTGCCCTTTCGATCTGTCGGCAGGCAGGTAAAGTTTAATATTATAAAACAAAACCTAGAGAGTGAACACGTTTATCAAAAATCAAGTATGTTTGAACTGTTACACCTTCTTACACCACTTACACCTTCCTGTTACACCAATTGCTACGTGTTACTACGTATGTATTTGTTATTACGAACTATGACTGACAGGCGACATCCCCAATCTTCCCCTATAGATATGTTATCAAGCCTCCCGTCATACTCATTATGATTTTCGTCGTATATCAATGAAGCTGTTATGGCTGAGTCTGGTACATCTCTGCTTCGCATTCCCATTAACGTTAAACAGTATAAGCCTTCGAATATGAACGCAGTAATATTCATCAAATATAGGGAAAGGATGGGCCGAATGTTCTGCGTGTTCCTTTTCCAGTACTATTTAAGTGCGGAGTAAACGCCAACTGACTTTTTCGGAAGTCAATAAGCACATAATGGGTTGTAAGGCCAATTGTTCGTAGATTGCAGAGTTGTACGATCGATGTATAAATAACAGTTGAGAAAACACACTTGAATTCTTGACACAAATATATAGTGATAAAACCAAAATTTCTAACTAACCAATAACGTAACTAATTCTATTCACCCGCTACAATGAAATTGAAAAAGAGTAAAGTTATTATTGTCGTAATTTCAAACAAAGTTTATGGTAACATTTTTTTTAAATATATAAAAAATCACATATTTTTGAAATACTTACTTCTTAGCAAAGCTTCAATTATCTGATTTGCCGTTGTGAGTAATTCTTAAATAAATATGATTACGTGGACCTGTTACCATACGGTACTGAATTCAATTGCGGAATTCATACGGGAATTAAAAAATCAGGAAGGACATGAATAGACGATATACAGAATTATCAATAATCGTCATCGGTCTCGTTTTTTTTCATAACCAAATTCAATTACAATCAAGGTACAAAAATGGGGTTATGTGGCTGGGCTAATCATATATCTTTTGACTTTAATTGGAACCATTTTTTAGCATCGATCCTACGAAATATACACAGATCAGTATTTGACTAAGCTGTCTCAAAAATGTAAATTGAAAACAAAGCAAGTGATTCAAACCGTGTTACGCCCAAATATGTGAAAAATATTTCATCATATTTCATATTCCAAGATTAGTATACGATTATTTAGATATTATTATCATTAAACAAAGATAGCAATACACAAAGACACCACCTAGAGGAGGTAAGATTTTAGACTGTAGCGCACGTGTATATAGATGTGTCCCTGCCAAGATTAAGGGATCGATTTTCTTGGTGTCTCTGTCAGAGTTTCCAGTAAATGTCTAAATATGAACTAGATTGGTGCGAATCTTAAATAGGTGAGAAGTGAAAAGTTTATTTTTTCAGTTATTCGTGAATTTGTAAGAAATATCGACAACATAATTTATATATTAACAAACCCCTGGGGTTTGGTGCTGCTGTACTAAGGGTTCGGCGAAGGTCCTGTGAACTTGTTGGGTATTATGAAGTATTTCTATTTCCGAGCCAATTGAATATGTTAAAGAAAAACATAATTTAAGGCAGATATCCAAATTTCAACATTCAGGCCATTCATAAAATAGCTTATTCATTACCTGTCAATGAGAGGAGCTTGGATGTACCTCCGTATGACATCATTTTTATATTCTTTCTGACTTCCAAGTATCTAAGGTTGTTATTATAAACCTCGAGATTTTGAACCTAAATATTTGCGTAAACGACATGTTATTTATAACCTACTAATGAAACGTAACGCAATTTTACGAACAAGTTGATTATAATAAGTGTACATAAATGGATGAAAAAATAAGGGCAGTTTGAATTTCACTAAAAGATAGAATTTCCGGAACAGAATGTTTCGTGGCGGAGCTTTGAGTAAAAATATCATCACCCGTCAACGACCTTATAGCGCTTAGCCGCTTTCACATATCGTATCTCTGTTTCTGTGAAACAATAGGTAAATGCTTTTATACCCATCCGACGGCAAGTTAAAATCTGTGATGTGTATGGCTTGAGCCACTTTTGTTTTTGATACGGTATCTCAGGTTCGGGACCACCAATGTTGCAATTTTGCTTTCGTCGTTTTGCGCTTTCCATCGGCACAACTTTTATAACAAAAAAAAATGCCAACGAGTAGGGCTGGGCACTTCGAACCGAATACTCGAATAGTGAGGTATTCGAATTGGTTCAGAGCAAAATTTCGAGTTGCCGCCATCTTGATTATTACTTCTTGTCAATGGCCGAGGTTAATTACGCAATTTTTTTTTTAATATTTTAGCCATATTTTTTCAATGCAGTCCTGACATATGACTATTCTCTGTTGAAAGTTATTGATAAATGAGCGTTTTGGTATTGTGTGTGGACGCTCTGCAATTGGTCCCAATGATGTATTTTATGTTTCCAGTAATTCATTTGCTGACAGAACCAATTACATATCTCCCATTGACTCCCAAGTATTCGAGATTCCATTCGAAACAATTATTCGATTGGATTCTGAAATCATCAGGTAATCGAAAATGCCAAACCCAGCTTTTTCTGGCGACGCCATTGAGAGATAACAATGGTCATTTCGACACGGCGTATTGGTGTCTGAAATTGGACCACAACGTCTTTGCAATTCCGAGGAGTCTTTTTCGTGAATTAAGTCATCTAAAAAAAGAACTTGGTCTGATGACTATGTGCAGCATGTCTTTATCTGCTCAACTGAACGTGATTCCAATGCGAAAATGACACGAGAATTGCTCTTTCTGAAACGAAGCCACGTATCTCTCAGCTGGTCACCGAAAAACAGCAGCAGAAGTGTCACTAATAAATCAAATGAATAAATAAAGTTTACAGTTTGTTGCAATTTATTCTGCTATAACCAATGGCGCAACCAGGGGTTCTTTCGGTGGTTGACACTCTCCTGACAAAGCATGTCCTTCAAATTTAACCCGATAAAACAACCTATGCTCAACAGTAAGGCAGCGAATTCATATTCTATCAATTGCAGACGGTCAAATTTTCTATAAATGTGTACAAAATAGGCTTACCCCTAATACGTTCAAGTTGCGCTCTTATTTCAAAAATTTGGGGTTCGACGGGAGTTTGCGAAATTGCGTGGCAGTTCGACAGGCTCACAAAGGTCAAGAACCACTGATGTACAAGAACGAAAATTCATCTAAAATTTCCTTTTCTGCCTTGTGTTCTTGTATAGTAGTAGTCAGGCCACAGGATCCTGTGAAAGAAGTAACCCATTGATCAACATTTTCTTTCCTTTGTGTAATCATTCCACCAGCTAGTTCCGGTCTTCCGGAGCCAAGTTGAAGCCATTCGGCCTTTTGATCTGTCGGCAGGCAAGTAAAGTTTAATATTATAAAAAAAAAAACTAGAGAGTGAACACTTTTATCAATTTATCAAAAATCAAGTACGTTTGAACGGTTACACCTTCTTTGCTATGTGTTATGTATATAAATGTATATGTTTTTACTAACTATGTCTGGTAGCTCACATCCCCAATCTCCCCCTTTAGATCTAAGATCAAGCATCCCGTTATACGCATTATGATTCACGTCTTGTCGATACAGCTTTATTAGCTGAATCTCGTATCTCTACTTCTCATTCTAATTTAACGGTATAAGCATATGCTTCGAATATGAACAAAGAAATATCATTAAAATATAAGAAAGATCGCGCCGAATAATCTGCGTGTTCCTTCCCGGTACTATTCAAAACATACTTTAGCGGAGTAAACCCCAGCTGACTTCTTCAGAAGAGCTATTTTTATTCACTCGCTACAATAAAATTGGAAGAGTAAATTTATTATTGTTGTAATTTGGAACCAAGTTTAATAAAAAAAAATTTTAAATATATAAAAAATAAAAATATTTTTGAAATACTTACTCCGTAGCAAAGCTTCTATGATCTGATTCTCCGTTGTGAGTGAATCTTAAATAAATATGTGGACCTGTTACCATGAGGTACTGAATTGTGAATTAAATTGCTTCGGTGCCGGAGTCATAGTTTTCATGAGGAAATAAAAATTCAGGAAGGACATGAATAAATAATACAAAATTAAAAAAAACGGGTATTTAATAAAATTAAGGTAATATTAAATGTCATGGCTGAACTGGCCACTTCAGCATAAGATAAACAAGAAGGAATTGATGAAAATATGATGTCAAGTCGTTGATCCAAGAGAATAACTTATATGACCTCTGTTTGACCGAAAGCTTACAATTATACTATTTCGTGGAGGGAGATGGTGCTATTCGTAGTAATTTTAGGTTACCAAAAAATCACGGACGTTTTTCATTCATATCACCAGTACGCTTCCTTGATATGAAAGCATACACAACGACAAAAAGCGAAAGCAAAATAAGATGAGTGTAGTTTGCGAACAAAAGACAAATTTTAAATTAGTTTCACGCTGCAGTGTCGCAAAGATATATCTTGATGGGACTGGTTCCTAGAGTTAAAAAGAACAGATTCCGGTATAATGTCTGATAACGACAACTAAGACAACAGCATTTCGTGAGGAAAAGTTTGTTGTCCGGACGGTTATTGTGAACCAATCGCATTAGATATTCTTCTTTAGTACAGCCACAGCAGCACCAATCTAAATACGCCAGCAATATTATATATGAGAAGGTATCGGCAGTTTGTCCAAGCCTCTAAAGCAGTAGTGCCCAACCTTTTATGACTCGTAGCTACCTTCCGGAGACTTTCAGCACTCATGGCCCCCTGTTTATCATTCCAATGCAATTTATAATGTTATTATGATTGGCAGATTTCAAATCCAATTATGTTCAAACAATTTATGCTCAACAAAATAAAAACAACCTGTGAAATAACCTTATCAAGCAATGAAATTAAAAGAACAGGGAGTTTACTTGTGGAAAGAAATGTAAAATTAGTTCTGCGTTTGGCATTGTGGCGCCCCAGCCACCGCTCTGTGACCCCCTAGGCCTAGTGGGCCACGGGTCGTGAGATTTGTGATATATGTTCTTACTATTGCATCTAAGATGAAACTCCGAAGACATCCGTGCTATTTGATACACATCTGAATTTCAAAACCATTTCTAATACTTAAAAGCAGAACATAAAACTACAGATCCGATACAATACATGTTACAATTCTCAAAAATCATACGAATGTGTCAATTTCAAAAACGTGCCCAGAAACAGTTGTCTATGCTAGGCTAGACCACATATATTCATCAAAATCAACCAACATTTTTTTTGAACCAAATATCATTACAATCTTTCGCATTCTGGGAATGCTAAATTAAAAATAATTGCCATATGAAATATAGTAGACCGTTGTCTTGTCACAGATAAAAATACATATAGACATCTCGTAATCCGAATAAAATAAGATAGTCAAATACAAAATTGAAAACACATTTTTACTGGGGAAGGGAAGTCATTGCACAGGACAGTGTTTTAATTTTACAGTTCAAAATTGAACTCAATAAAAATAAATGATTATTGGACAAGAAATTCGTTAATAATCATTTGTATTTGTCATAGAAGAAGACAGAGCTTTAAAATTAACAATGTAAAATTTACAAAAAGTAAATTTTATCATATAAATAGACAATGTGAAGTGTAATGTTACGTTTGGGCTAACTAATTTTTTTTTTCTGGTATTAATAAAATAAGAATATTTTTATGGGTTCTAAAAAATAAAAATAAATATTGAATATCGTCATTAGAAGGCAGCCTTAATCAGAACATCATTCATTTATAGAGGCTGATAATTAGAAAAATGGTTTGTAATAATATTAGGCATGAATATATTACGTCGAATGAAGTAATAGCAACTGCAATCGTTATTTCCACATTATGTGTACAAATCATAGCACATTCCCCTGATAAATTCGACCCTCATACAGATGTGATCATGCCAAGTTTCAGGGTGAACCCGAATATATCGACAAGTGACTGGTTTTGGAAACATGTTTATCTTTTTAGTTTCCATGTCAGAGTTACCTGTAAATACCTGAATAAAAAATGACTTAAAAGCCGATGTGGTTTGATAACTGCTAAGAATATATATAAGATATGTATCAATTGGCACAAAGCACGGAACGATTGTATTCAATAATGAAGTTGTTCAGATTATAATATCGGCATGGGGTATATATATATGTAAAGAAAGTTTTACGTTTTCTTCTCTCTTTGAATTGAAAGTAGTTCTTTCATTAAGATGTGCATGAGATGAGTTATATATACATTGTTCACCCTATCACGATAGTGGTTGACTATGATTTCATGTTTAAGTTCTTATAGTTTCAATCAGAAAAATATAGAAGGATTCGGAAATACATTTTGTAACTGTCAAATATTATCATCATTTTTTTCGTCACAAAAATTACTTTCGCATTTATTTTTCTTAAAATTCCATTTGCATATTGATTTCAGAAACAGTTTTGGCGCATTCTAACTCACAAACCAACAACAATGTACGAAACTCAAGCATGAAAAATGATTAATGAATCACCTTTTGTGCCCCATGCTCTTGGATGGTAGTCAGAGAACTAGTGCCGAGACCACAGGAAATCGTGAAAGACGTCACCCATTGACCTACACTCTCTCTTCCCTGTGTAATTATTCCACTAACTAGTTCCGGTCTTCCAAAGTCTACTTGAAGCCATTCGCCCTTTCGACCTGGCAATACACAAATTAAATTCATCATTGGCAATAACTTTTTTTTATGAATCTATCAAAAATTAAAGTAGCCCATAATTAAATTGTCACATTCTATTTAGTCGATATTGAATGTTTCAAAATGTGTTCTGACTAACTTTGTCTGGACGCCCATGCTGCTACATCTCCTGTTTTTTTTCTGTTATCAAGCCTTCCGTCATACGCATTATGATTTACGTCGTATATCGATGAAGCTGTAATAGCTGAGTCTGGTATATCTCTGCTTCTCATTCCCATAAAACAATATGCACCTGTAGTGATATTTGGGTATATTAGAATAAATATTAACACGATATTAAAATACATGAATAGCATCAATGGAAAACTCTGCAAAAAGAAATATCTTGGATCTACCATACGTCACCGCACATTATTCTACAGGTATAAAGGCTAACGGAATAATCATGAATCGTGATGTCCCATAAAATGTTAACACCAAAAGTTACTTTCAGGTTTAAAGGCCTAGTGTATTAGTCAATGAAATCTTGCGCTCAACTCTCTACCACTACTTCGACAACAATATAATCAGTTAGTTTTGAGCAGCTAAGAACTAAAAGTGTATAGAGACGATAGTCATAGTCAAGTTTATCATTTCCATCCAATAAAAATAACATAAAAAATCGACAAAAAATAAAATTTATCACACCATTTTGACCAACAAATATATATAATTTGATGGTCCTTGTGACGTTGGATATTTGCGTTCAACTTTAATTTACAAAACTAAATTCGATTTCCTTGATACTTACTCTTTGGTAAAGCCTCAATAATCCGACTTGTCTTTGCAAGCGAACCTAAAATTGTAAACGGGAGACATTAGTACATAATAGTATACGAGTACCACGCAACAGAATGTCACACTATTTGCAGGTTAAATTAATGGTTAGTGTATTTTCACTGATGGTCGATACCGTGTTCTTTAATTCAAATCAGTCGCTTAAGGTTACATGATTGAATTTTAGCCCCATTACTATGCTCAAAAGCGACTGAATTCTACGCCATCACATGAACTCACGTAAACAATTTCGTTTTATCCAATAATACTAAGAACCGGTCTATTTTGTGAATTGCAGCTTAGCGCTAACGATAGATATTTTTTATGTGCTGTTTTCATTGGTACAGCTACTATATATATTAAAAAAGAGTTGAGCTCAATACAACTAGAACGTTGTTACTGAATCACTATTTTTGTGTAGTCAATGAAGGATATACAAAACAATGAAACGTAATTAATGAATATGATAATTAATTACTTTCAAGTTCTCTAATTCTTTCTTCTAGATTTTCAGCAGTTCCTTGTTCGCCTTTTTGACCTTTTGCTCCTGTTAAACCTATTGGTCCTTGTGATCCGCGTTTACCAGGTCTGCCTTGACATTGACTGGAATCACAAGTCAGCTGACTCTTGTCTTCATTTGCTACAACATGCGAGCAGAATTCATACACTGTTGGCAAAATAGCAACTATAAAAGCTAAAGTGATTTTCATATTCGCTAGAAAAAAATAGATGTTTGTATATAACAAGAGAGCTACGCCCAAATATATGGACACGTCTGTTCGCAGTACAGTACGGTTTACCGTACCGTCAGATCACAGTCTACAAATATATTCACACCAAGCGAAGCAGTACAGTAAGACACAAAATGGCGTCCGATGACCGCAGAACGTTTAATGACGTCATAGCAAACAAAAACAAATCTCACAGAGCTAACCGAAATATTTGAATGAATAAAAGTAATAGCCTTCTAGGGCAAAATTTTTTCTTCAACCACTGAAAATTTCAAAGCAATTGGTCCAGTATTCGAAGAGAAAAGCGATTTTTTTTAAAATGATGGAGACAAATAATAATAACATTAACAACAAAATTTTGAAACAATCGTTATGTCCACTACGTGTCCAAATATATATTGGATGTGTGCAGTGTGCGCAGGGGGCGGAAGGGGCAGCCGCCCCGGGCAGCACGTAATCGGGGGCAGCAGAACCGAGCTGTAGTTTGCGTTATTACACAAAAGATATTCCGGACGAACGAGGGGGAAAGGCGGTCGTTCAGACATTTGTGGATAGCAAAGTAGCGATTGAACATAGAAACAAGTGACTTGTATTTGCTAATAAATGAGTTTGATTTTGTAAATGTGAGTTTGTTGCTTAGGTTGATGATTTATTTAAAAAAACAAACGTTTCCATCCTACTTAATTGACCTTTAATTTATTTATTCTCGTACATAACAACATCTATAATTTGTTCATTGCACGAAATATTTTCAAGGTTAGATATAAGGGCGGCATTATCAGAAACTCGCCCCGGGCAGCAGAAGAGTTTGGCACGCCCCTGGATGTGTGTCGAATATCAACACTTGGTAATTAGGATTCTAGTTAATGGCATAGTCATAGCTACACAGGTAGTCTTATACGTAATATCTGGCCCAGAACATCAGCTAAATTCACCGCTACTAAGTCATTGGTTCTAAATGTTAATTGTTCCCAGTTGAGGAACACTCTGCTAAGCTGTTGACATGAACGACTAAACGGTTAATGTGAACTGCTTTTATTCGTACTTCAACCAAGACTATTAAATATTTGAACTTCAACCGTCTACGCGTCAAATCCCTTAGGATTTGACTTATGAGCAGGGACATATTTAGCAATAGGCAAACTGGGCTGAAGGTTTCAGTAACATATGCGACAGCTGACGATGATATACTTGTTGTGTTAGTAGAGTTTGTTGTGATCGTAAGTATTTGACTTGACACCCATGGGCATTTGCACCCATCGATAGTTTCACCCATGCAAATTTGAACCAAAGACCATTCGCATTTCTTTTCAACTGAATAACAAAAAAACAGTAGCCTACGATCATGAATGTGCATCGAATTTAATGATGTTTGGTTAATGCATGCTGACACTTAAACCTTACGGAAACTGGCCTATAGCTACAAATGTCTACAAGTACAAATGTTCGTTGCGTGAAAAGTATGCAGGTGTTCCTGGATCCATGTTAAGGACGTGTACGCGGGTGCAAGGTAATGAAACCAAATGTTATTAGCACAACCATTTTATTACATATTTATATTCGCTGGGAGTGCAAAAATAAGCATGTATATTAAAAGTAGGTGCATTAGTCCGACATCACCTGACTGGTACAAAAATTTATTTAGTACCTTACTTATATTTGTACTAAAATAAAATTTTAGCTGTGGCAACATTTGAGATTATTTTATTGAAGCCAGTATTAGAAACGCTTTCTCGTGAATGTAATGATACACATAACTCTTTGTTGGTTGACAATGCCATGTAACTTGTCGCTGGAGATGTGCTTCCATTGTACGATATTAAAAGGATGTGTTCTTATGCTGAATTATTTATGCACTGGGCAATTAAACTGTAGATGTACTATTCGGTGCACACATGCGGCAGTTAAATAGGTTCACATTTGTTGATTTGTCACTAAGCTCAATCGACACGAGTATTAGTTGTGTGCCACCATGTACTTTTGAACAAAGTGTCTTTATTGCCAGAAATTTGCAAACACACTCATGATCGAATGAACATTTTTTAGACAGGTTGCGAGTAAGCTAAAATGAACAAAGTGGAAAGGACATTTTGCTACAAGAGATTACCGTAGAAGCTTAGATAAAAACTTACATTGCGTCTACGAACCGTTATTGGTATAGAATTTTATTATCAAATGCTGATATTTGAAATACGATCAATTTGTCTTATTTTATTTTTTACGAAGCAAATGTGGAAATTACTTTAGCGTTTTGCGTTGCCATTTTACTACAATTAGCCAGCTGTCACATGCCAACAGTGTATGAATTATGCTCACATGCAATGGCAAATGGAGACGCAGGTCAGCTGACTTGTGATTCGAGTCAATGTCAAGGCAGTCCTGGTAAACGCGGTCCTGAAGGTACAAGAGAATTAACAGGAGAAAATGGTCAAAAAGGCGAACAAGGAACTGCTGAGATTTAGAAGAAAGAATTAGAGAACTAGAAAGTAAAAAATTATCACATCAATAATTAAGCTCCATTGTTTTGTATATCCCTATTGATAACTCTACAATGAAGATTCAGTAGCAACGCCCAACTTGTATTGAGCGCGACTACTTTCCAGTATATATAATTAGATGGGTGGAAACATATGAAAAATAATCTATTGTTAGCGCTTATATACATAAGCTGCAATCTACGGAAGATACCGATTTTGTAGTCCTCGGGAAAACAAAATTGTTTACACGAGTTTAAATGAGGGCGTACAATTTGGTTTCTTTTGAATATGGTAATGGAGCTAAAATTCAATCATGTAACCAGATGTCTGTGGTTACTGACTTGGAATTAAAAAACATGGCATGGGCAATCAGTGAAATCACTTCAACCATCATTGTAACTCGCAAATAGTGTGACATTTTTAACATCATGTTGCGTGGTACTCGTATACTATTATGTACTAATGTCTGACTCCAGTTTACAATTTTAGGTTCGCTTGCAAAGACAAGTCGGATTATTGAGGCTTTACCAAAGAGTAAGTATCAAGAAAATCGAAGTTCGTTTTGTGGATTAAAGTTGAACGCAAATATTCACAAAGACCATGAAATTATATATCCTTGTCGGTCTCTAAGCTTTAGTTTATATCCGCTTAAAATTCACCGGGTGGCATAGAGTGGCGCACAGTATTTCATTGATTATACACCAAGCCGTTGACATTAAAAGTAACTTTTGGAGTAGAATTTTGATGGGCATCATGAATATTCCGTTAGGCTTTATATCTGTAGTATAATGTGCGGTAACGTATGGCGGATCCAATATATTATTTGTATTCCGAGATGTTTCCCATTGATGCTATTCATTTATTTCGATATCATGTTAATATTTATTCTGATATAAATCTAACTACAGGTGCCTATTGTTATATGAGAATGAGAAGCAGAGATATATCAGACTCATATATTACAGCTTCATCGATATACGGCGTAGATCATAATGCGTATGACGAAAGGCTTGATAGCAGGGATAAACCAGGAGATGAAGGAGCATGGGCGGTCCGGCACAGTTAGTCATGACATATTTTAAAAGATTCAATATCATTTGAATGGAATGTGATAATTTGATTAATGGCTACTTGATTTTTTTTTTATAGATCAATAAAACAATTATTGCCAATGATAAATTTAATTTATGTAATGCTAGGTCGAAAGGGTGAATGGCTTAAAGTAGAGTTTCTGCGAGTTTCTTCCCCGGTGCTATTTAACATACTTTAGCGGAGTAAAATCCCCCCCCCCCCCCCTGACTTCTACAGAAGTCAATAAGCACACATTAAAATGTAGGGTCAAATGTTCGTAGGTTGCAGAGTTGTACAATCGATGTATAAATGACAGATGAGAAAACACACTTGAATTCTTGACACGAATATATAGTCATGAAACCAAAATTACTAACTAAGCAAGAACGATAAAACAAAGACAAGCAACTCTTGGGCGAGGTTGGAAAATACGTCAACTTTTTCGCATAAAACGTTGCGTGAAAATAGTCATACACAAAAAAAGGGGATAACATACACTATCAATAATAAGTGGTTAAAAGTATTGAAATACACAGTAACTATTCTCATTCACTTGCTACAATGAAATTGAAAGAGTGAAGTTATGATTGGGTGTACTAATGGGCGAATTTCAAATTAGTTTCACGCTGCAGTGTCGCAATAATATATCTTGATTAGACAAGTTCCTGAATTAAAAAGAACAGAATTAGTTGTAATGTTAATTGTTTGGACAATTATTGAGAACCAATCACGGATCAACTGACCCCCCCCCACAGAGTACCCAACTGTAGAATCTCCACCCCAACCAACTGTAGATTCTTCAGTTGATCCCCATTCATACCTTATTAAGCAATGAAATTAGAAGAACGGGGAGTTTTCTTGTAAAGAGAAAAGTAAAATCAGTTGTGCGTCTGGCATTGTGGCCCCCACCGACCGCTCAGCTGCTCTCAAGCCTTTGGCTTCAAGCCTGGTAGATTTGTGAAATTGGTTGTATATGCATGAGACATATTATTTGCATTAGCTATATATATATATGTGTGTGATTGACTGTATATGAGTTGGATGTATAAGTCTATTTGTAGTTGTATATATATGTATAACATGTTACCAATCCTAATATTGCATCTAAGATGAAACTCCGAAGACAGTTGTGCTATTCGATTTACATCTAATACTTACAAGTAGAACACACAACTACTGATCCGAGTTAATATCTATATGTTACAATGCTCAAGAATCATCCGAATGTGTGAACTTCAAAAGCATGCTCTTGTCTTTGCTACTACTCGACCACATATATATAATCAACAAACATATATTTTGAAACGAATATCATTTTAATCACTGCAATCTTTCGCATTCTGGGAATGATAAATTAAAAATAATTGATAATAATAGATAAATATAGTACACTTTTGTCCTGTCACTGATAAAAATACATACAAATATCTCGAAATCCGAATCAGATTTACAAAAACTAAATTACCATATATTAATAGACAGTGTGAATTGTAGTGTGCCGTTTTGGCGAATCAAATTTTTTCTTGGTAATAATAAGACGAGAATAAATTTTGTGAGTTTTAAAAAATATTGAATTATTAGAAGTAAATTTACAATTGTCATTAGAAGGCAGCCTAAATCAGAGTATCACTCATTTATAGATGCTGATAATAGGAAAAATGTTTGTTATAATATACGTCGAATGGAGTAATAACACCTTCAATCGTTATTTCCACATTATGTGTACAAATCATAGCACATTCCCTTGATAAATTCGACCCTCATACAGATGTGACCTTGCCATGTTTGAGGGTGAACCCGAATATATCGACAAGTGATTGGTTTTGGAAACATGTTGATCTTTTTGGTTTCCATGTCAGAGTTACCTGTAAATATCTGAATAAAAAAAAATAACCTAATGTCGATATCGTTGGATAACTGCTAAGAATATACAATATATATATATCAATTGGCACAAAGCATAACACGATTGTGTTCAGTAAAAATATTGTTCAGATTATAATATCGGCATAGGGTACATAGAGTAAGTTTTAGGTCTTTCTTCTCTCTTTGAATTGTAAGTAGTTAATCCACTAATCTGTGCATGCGATGGGGGATATTAATACATTGTTCACCCTATCACGGTAGTGGTTTACTGTGATTTCATGTTTAAGTTCTTACAGAAAAATATAAAAGATATTCGAAAATACATTTTGTAACTGTGAATTATTATCATCATATTTTCTCTCGCAAAAATTACTTTCGCGTTTGTTTTTCCTAAAATGCCATTTGCACATTATTTTCAGAAACAGTTTTGACGCATTTTCAGTCACAAACCAACAACAATGTACAGAACTCAAGCATGAAAAATGATCAATGAATCACCTTTTGTGCCCCATGCTCTTGGATGGTAGTCAGAGAACTAGTGCTGAGACCACAAGAAATCGCGAAAGACGTTACCCATGCCCTAGCATACAGTCTTCCTTGGGTAATTATTCCACCAACTAGTTTCGGTCTTCCGAAGTCTACTTGAAGCCATTCGCCCTTTCGATCTGGCGGTACATAAATTAAATTTATCATTGGCAATAATTTTTTATGAATCTATCAAAATTCGAAGTAGCCTATAATTGAATTGTCACATTCTATTTAATTGATATTGAATGTTTCAAAATATGTTATGACTAACTATGCCGGACCGTCCATGCTGCTACATCTCCTGTTTTTTTCTGTTATCAAGCCTTCCATCATACGCATCATGATTTCCGTCGTATACCGATGAAGCTGTAATAGCTGAGTCTGGTATATCTCTGCTTCTCATTCCCATGAAACAATATGCACCTGTAGTGAGATTTATATCAGTTAAGTTTGAGCAGATATGAACTAAGAAAGTATAGCTCATAGTCAAGTTTATTTTTTCCATACAGTAAAAAATATAAAAAATATTTTCTTATTAATACTTACTCTTTGGTAAAGCCTCAATAATCCGACTTGTCTTTGCAAGCGAACCTAAAATTGTTAACTGGAGTCAAACATTAGTACATAATAGTATACGAGTATCACGCGACATGATGTTAAACATGTCCCATTATTTGCGACTTAAAATAAAAGTTGGGGAATTTTCACTGATGGTCAATACCATGTTTTTCAATACCAAGTCAGTGTCCACAGACATCTGGTTTTCATGATTGAATTTTAGCCCCATTACAGTATTCAAAAGAAACCGAATTCTGCACCCTCATTTAAACTCGCTTAAACAATTTCGTTTACTCAAGGACTATTAAGAATCGGTCTCTTCCGTAGATTGCATCTTAGTGCTAACGATGCATATTTTTTATATCATGTTTCCATCCAACTAATATATATACTGAAAAGTAGTTGCTTAATACAAATTGGGCGTTGCTACTAAATCTTTGTTTTGGAGTTATCAATAGAGATATACAAAACCATGGAGCTTAATAAATGAGCATGATAATTTTTTTCTTTCAAGTTCTCTAATTCTTTTTTCCAGATTCTCGGCAGTTCCTTGTTCGCCTTTTTGACCTTTTGCTCCTGTTAATCCTCTTGGTCCTTGTGATCCGCGTTTACCAGGTCTGCCTTGACATTGGCTGGAATCACAAGTCAGCTGACTCGTGTCCCCATTTGCTACAACATGCGAGCAGAATTCATACACTGTTGGCATGTGACAGCTGGCTAACTGTAGAAAAATAACAACGCTAAACGCTAAATTAATCTTCATATTTGCTACGAAAGATAGATAAATATATATATATTAAAAATATTAAAAAAAAGATATATATAAATATACATATATTGAATGTGTTTCGAATATCAGCATTTCGTAATTAAATTCTGTTTGTGGATGAACTTAGGATTTTAAATATTGGCATAGTCTTAGCTACACGCAGATAGGCCCTTAACGCAATATCTGGCAGATAACATCAGCTAAGTTCACTAAGTCATTGGTTCCAAATGTTAATTCTTCTCAGTTGAGAAACACTATACTAAGCTCTTGCCATAAATAAATAAACGGATGTGCTAGTGTGAACTGCTTTTTTTTT